GAGCTGCGAGTGTTTTCTCTCATGGACTGTCCCCTCCCCGTTCCTCTGAGCTGCTTCTCTCTTCCATCTCTCACAGACCCTCCACATCTGCCATTGCAGGCCTTCCCTTGCTCGGGGTGACGCTCTTGAGTAAGATAAGCTGGACTGGCCCCTGTGTTTGCTTCCCTGCCTGCTGCTGCCCCATTTGATCAAAAGACCTTGGAAGTATCACAGACTCAGAAGCCAAGATTTTGTGTTTAAGTTTTCAACTGTAAATAAAGTTGTTGTTTTTTTGGGGGGGGGGTTTTTGGGTTTTTTTTTTTTTTACCGTGTGTTGTGTTCTTTTTAAATGGTTGTAATGATAGCCCTGTTTCCTCACTCCTTAGCTCCAGCTAGGAGTACTGACTCTCCCCAGAGGCCAGCATGGGCCAGAGCCAGGCCCTTGATATGTAGAGTTGATGCCTCAGATTTACAAGCAGTTGTAGCAGTCCCCTCATAGGTTCAAGCTGATTGGGCAAAGAAGGCAAAGCCCCAGGGCCTTATGTTCCCAGTAGGTTCATTTTGGTTAGTTCTAGAGCCTGTGGGTGAAGGGTCACTAGCTTGGGATATTTTTGGATGGGGGACCATTTGGTAGAATGTGCCTTGATCATGATGAAGTGGAAATCATTTATTAATAGTTAAAAATCTTGGTTTGAATCCGAAGTCATTTTTTAAACAGTTGAGGTCTTGAGATGTTCACGTCCCCATTCAGAGCCTCGGTTTCCTCATCTGTAAAATGGGGATAATACTACTTCATAGCATTGTCAAAAGGGTCAAACAAGAGAATGGAGATGAGGATAACTTGTAGACAGTAACGTGCGTTGGAAAATGTTTGTTTTGAAAGGAAATAAAAGGATAACATAAAAACATAAAAGATAAAAAGATCCCATTGAGTGTAATGTTCAGGAGGTAAAGGGAGTTCCCTGGTATTCCTTTCATGAGGCAGTTTCTATGTTATCCCATTCCTACTTTCTCCTGGCTCATGGCGGGGATGACTCATAACTACGAGCAGCAGGCTACTGCAGCAGCAGAGTAGCAGAGAGCTCAATTCTGTGATAAAATAGAACCAGGCTAAAAGTGCCATTTCAGTGTACTGGGGGACAAGAAAGGTGGTGAGATATACAAGGGCCCTGTAGTTTGGATATTTGCAACTGTCTAGCTAAGTAAACAGGATTCAGGGTACACGGGGAAGAAAGGGTTGTGATCTAGTGGAGGAGAAATCTTCAAGTAACTAAACGGGGTAGAATTTAAAGAGAGAGGAAGGAGGATGAGCAGCTGGGATCCTGAGCTGATGTTCTTATGATGGGCCATTCAGTTGAATTCAGTTACACTTGGCACCTGCATTCTTTGCCAGTTTCTGTCCTGGGCACTGGAGCTGTAAAGATGAGTAAGATGTGGCCTGTGTTTGTGACAGGGGATAGGCATGGTTTGGATTCAGTGTGGTGAGTGTTAGAATGTGAGCCCTTATGAGGACAGGAAAGTTGGTCTTTTTTGTTTGTTTTTCACTGCCGTCTCCAGCACCTAGTAGCCAGTAAGAGTTCAATAAATATTTGTTGTGTGAATGATAGTGGTATGTATAAGATGCTATGGGAGCAGAGCGGAAAGATTGGGGGTGAGAGGAAGAGGCAACATTTGAGGTAAGTATTGACAGATTGGTTGGAATTAGCCAGGAGATAAGGGTGGGGAGGGCTTTCTAGGAAAAGGCAACTATGTTTTGGGGCCCAGAGTCTGTAGAGATGGGGACAAGGTGAAAGTTTTGCAGAGGAGATTCTTGGAATGAAACCATTTGCCTTTCACATCACTTAAAGGTAGACACTGGAGCTGTGGTCACCACACTAGGCTCTCAGGGTGGCAAGGGGACTAGCAGAACCATGGCTTGGGGAGCTCCCATCTTGGAACAGGAGATGGATTTTGACATGAACTGTTTCTCCTCCAGTGCTTCAGTACCATCTATGCAGTGGTAGAGAGGGGGCTACAAGGAAATCACTCATCTTCATGTTCACTGAGCATGAAGAGAGACTTCAGTGAAGTAATTGGATGAGTAAGTAATGATACTTTTAAGTAACATTTTAAAGACAAATATTATAGAATTTATATTTCTGCTTGAGAAGCCATCCCTTCAAAGCAGTTACATAAGGAAGGTTACTTATTCTCAGAGGTGCTGCTGCCATTATTCTAAGTGCCTTTGTAACTCCACTTTGGGGAAAAGCTCTCAAGCCTATGGGGCACACTTTTAAATTTCCTAAGTGTTGGCAGAATTGCCTTTGAGGAAATATTTTCTTTTTAACAGTCAAAAGTCACCTGGAGCTGGAACAGATGAACAGCAGCTCCGGGATCCACCTACTTCTCTCCCTTCACACTTGCTGCCGCAGACCTTTTTCACCTGGATTACTGGTGCTGCTGCCCAGATGACCTCTCTGCTGCCAGTACCTTCTTCTCCAATCCATTTTCTACATCATTCACTTGACACATTAATTACGATATTGTGTGTCAGGGACTATGCTAGATGCCTCAGGAACTCATAGTCTGGCAGGGAAGATATAATGAGTGTGGTACAGTGTGTTAGGAGAGGGTCTCCTAACCTAGTAACATCTGAGGCAAGACCTAGAGGATGAAGTTAAGCAGGCAAAGGAGAAGGGAGAAAGGAAGAATGTTATAAGGAGAGGGAATAGTATGTGATAGCTCAAAGGAAGCAGTGGCTAAAAGGTCACCTGGAAGGTTGGACAGGGAATGTGACAGAAGAGTGGGAAGTAAGTTTAGAGGTCATGCAGGGTCCTGCCAACCACATTAAGGAATCTGGACAATCCTGTGGGTGGTGTAGTCACTAAAAGATTTTAAGTGAGACAGTGTCGTGATCAGATGGATGTTTTCAAAAGAACACTGGATATTGTGATGGGGAATATTAGAGTAAGAAAGGTAGAGACGCTGGCTAGGAGGCCACAGCAGTGCTGTAAGCCAGGGGTTGGCAGGCCAGGTGTCACTCCCTATTTTTCAGTGGTTCATGAGCTAAGAATAAGAATGATTTTTAAATGTTTTAACTAGTTGGGGGAAAAAAAGTTTAAATAGTTGAAAAATCTAAAGAATATTTTGTGACATAAAAATTGCATGAAATTCAGATTTCAGTGTCCATAAATTACATTTTTTTGGACCACAGATGCACTTGTTTACTGATTGTCTGTGGTTACTTTCAGGCTCTAAATTTGAGTAGTTGAGAATCTGGCCTGCACAGCTTAAAACACTACCTGGCCCCTATAGAAAAGGTGCCTACTCCTGCTCTGAGCAATGGATAATGATGGCCTACACTAAAGTAGCAGCAGTAGGAAAGAAGAAACTCTGGATTTGCATTTAGAGATTTTTTTTAGAACTGATTCAGGGAGGCCTTTAAGGGGTGGAATTTACAGGCCTAGATGATACCGATGGGGTAAGGACTACTGCACTAGCCTCCTAGCTGGTCTCCCTACTTTCATTTTTGCCCCTCTGCAGCCCATTCACTCTTCCCCAGCCATTAAAGAAAAAAAAAAAAAGTGCCATTCCCTACTTTCAGTTCTAAAATTACTCTTCTTACTATTGCCCTTAGGTTAAGTTTCAGATAAAATGTTCCCAATTTAACCCTGCCTACCTCTATAACCCAAATGTCTTCATTCTGGTCTTACTGGACTACTTTAGTTGTATTTGCCCCAGACCCCATCTCTTCTTGCCTCCTACGCCTTTGCATAAACCTCCATGTGCTTGGAGTCTGCACTAAACCTTCTCCCCACCGCCACTCCCAAAATGCTTTGTGCATTTGCAGCGCTGTAGTGTTGGGTGTGTTGCATGTTTAAATTTCTGCCTTTATCCCTGGACTGAATTTAAGAAGGCAGCAACTGGCGCACTTGTCCATACCCAGCAGATAGTAGACGCTTGATAAAGAACGAACTAAGGTGGACGACTTCATCTACATCATGCGGCAGCCTCAATTACAAATCGTTTGTGAAACGTGCATAGTAATCCCTATTTCACATGGCTGTTTTAATAAAATGCACGAAAAATGCCTAACGTGCTCAATAAACGTGAGATGAAATTAAATCTGATTTGTGGCCAATACGAAAAGATGTGAATACTCAAGACAGTCCTCCTGTGCCTGGTATGATAGATCGGGAGGCGGGTCCCCACGGAGTACACCCCCGCCCTCCATATGCTGGGCAAGGGCTGCCTGATACCTTGCGTGGTCCCCCCAAGGTGACTGCTCCGCCGTAAACCGACGCTCT